TTCGTGAATCTATTCCGCCAAAATTATCACTTGAGGAATTTCTTGAACACTATTTCATCAATTCTATTGGAGATCGTCTCTTGCAAAGAAACTTTGGCTAAATGTGCTTTATTTGGTCTTCTTCAATAATATGTATACTCTTTTAATTGAGCTATGCAAGCATCATCGTCTTCAATATTATTGGAATCGCTCTCCAAAGAAAAGGTCACACGTCCTCACATGGAAATAGATTGTTTAAACAACGAACTATGCCCTGCATTTGTATAACCAACAAAACCTTGACAATATTTGTTAGAATAAACAAATCTATATCAAGGATCCTTTGCAAATATAATATTAAATCAATTTTAATATCTCCATATAGCTTTTATACTTCAGTTGTTGGGACTAATTCGTCAACTTCATATTTTTCAAATGAATCAATTTCATTGAATATTTTTCATTTGGCCAATCATTTATCTGTCCAAATTCCATAAAGATTTGAGCTCAACATCCTCGTCAATATTAATAATATTGGGCGCTACATTATATAAACAATATCGTCAATGATCATTTTACATCGCTTCTGTCATTACCGCACTTAAAGACATAACTTATTGAGATCTCCTTTATCTCAATTATTTTCAGGTACCTGAGCTCCCCATGAGGTCTATAAAAGTGTAATGTATGTGCTCTTATAAAGCACTTGCCTCCTTATTGTGACATCTTGAACATTTGCTCCTCTCCTTCTTCAAGGAGTTTTTATCATTTGGTAACCGATAGTCTAATTACGCTCATCGTGTCATAAACTCTGTCCATCATGGACTTTATTCTATTTTGGTGCATTAACAGCTGAAATAGACATTTAGCCTGGTCAGGCAATGCTCCTGGCAATATTTTAGGAAAGGAAATTATCACTTGAAACTTCAAGTTCACATAAGTTCACATTTTAATTGTCAGGTAGATGTATCATATAATTCATTCCACGCTATCACTGTCTCAGCTGCCCATTTTCCCTCTCCCCCTAATGTTAGATCACACCGACACACATTCTCAACCTTATTTGGAGACCCATCTTTTGTGCATTGTGGTGTCACAATAAATCATATCGCAATCTATTTCAAGATGAAATCATCATTGGTTCCCTGACCTGGAACCAAATTGTGACGGGGGAATTTATCATAACTTGGCTAGCATGGCGTACAGTGTTGCTCTATATTAAATAATACATCTTATACAAATTCCTTTTTGGTAATTTTGTTCTCATAACAATGATTTACTATAATTGGAGGCATACAATCTCTGCTAAACCAACTTGGATTTAAACCCAGCATTATCAAGATAAATGTTATATTTCTGGAGCTCTGCTCTTAAGAGAATTTGAGCAATCAATCTTGCAATCCAAACTGCACAGTGGACTCAAACGCAAACGCACACCGATAATGGAAACAGTGACAATAGAGTCGCATCTATTTGAGAAATAATTATAGCTAGTACCTTATATTATTATTAATTAGAATTTACAAGGTCATTACTGTATTATTGTTGTCATAGTTTATATTCTTACTGATTTATATCCAAGTTTACATCCCTCCGAGGTTAAAAATATTACTCACCAATAGCCACCACGATTTACATATGCTCCGTTTTATGATTTCCCAGAATAAAGAGTTCCTTTAGGAACAGAGTGATAGATATATAAATATCAGCCATGGCGATTTATAGATCGCAGATGATGCCAAAATCTCATTAAGGGATTCTTCACTCCCATACCTAAGAGAGCCTGCGATATATTTGACATAGTTGAGAATTTAATTGCACAATAGACTGATAGGATGGATGAAATTCTTTAAGGGAGAGGAACTAGGATATTCTATTTTAACCAATTTCCTAAGGTAGATCATAATCAATATAATGTAAGGAGCATTTTAAATAAATATGGAAGGAATTCTTCCTCAATATATACATTTCATATTTTCCAAAGTGAATTGGGAATTTCAGTAAGATTTTTAATTTGGAAATAGTCCGAGGCATTAGGGTGACCAATGGATGACCTCGCATTGCGCAAACTTTTAAATATTTTTTTTCGCTTGTTTTTCTAGGTTAAACATGCCTTCTAGTTTTTACGGTATTGGGTGGCATGTATTCCATCATCCATGCTTATACTTGTTGGTAGGTACAAATAAGGAAAAATCGGTAACCTTGTAGTCAAGTATTTTATCCCCGGCTAAACCACATGAATTATAAAGTCAATGGGGATGAAAGATTACTATCAAATACTGCACCCTTTTCATTTTATAGTCCTTCCAACTTATGCTGACCTACCACCCATTGTATTAAGGAGCTAATTATAATATTGTGAGGATACTTCAAAATTCCTTCTATTTAGGTAACTCTGCAACGTTCTTCCAAAGTCTGATCCTGTACAAGCTTAATGGGATACTACTATATGGTAGAGAGTATTTCATACTTTCTCAGGATTTCAAGGAACAATCGAAATTTTTTTTGATCACTTGTTAACAATAGACGGAAATGCCGCGTAGGATTTTTACACAATATAGAAATATAAAGCTAATAAAATTTACCTCATTCGTTTCCTGTAAGTCTCGTGTCTAGATTGAAGAATTGCTGAACAACCATGGATTTTTTTGAGCCTTATTTTTATAATTCACTTATTTATTAGCTTTATTCTTTTTCCGTTTTTATTGGTTCACATCGTCTTTTGGCTTCAGTCAAATGCATTGCTGAATCCCGAAGAGAATCACCATTTCAAACAATCAGTCATTGGCTCGCCAATTAATTGGCTTTCGCCTTCTAACCGGGGAAAGATTACAAGCAACTTGGTGCAATAATCGATTTGAGAACAATAAATTATTCCTGTTATCAAAGTCTTTATGAATATCCATATTTACATAGACGAAGTATTGAATGTCACAGATTTCTATTTTATGGAACTGCTTTCCCTATCGAATCACCGAATTCTTGGAAATATTCCCATCCATTCATCCCATTGAGACACACTCCCAAT